ATGTATATGTAAACTACATGTGTTTTACCTACTTGACATGTAATACCAAAGTCTACAAGCTGCTTTGTCTGGGAAACAGCTATAAATATTTTAACCCTTAATGGAAACTATGCCCACCTTCTATAACTTGCCTTGAGATCTACAACTTACATGTAGTTAGTAGAAACAAGTGTATATACTCATTAGAAAGATATCAGTTTACACTACACACCAGTGGTTAATTTGAAATTGGTGCACAGTTTTCTCACAGTATACATGTAACTGCTGTCAGTATTCTTGTCTGCTTGATCGACTATAGCATTTACAATGGTTTCTTACCTAAGTATGCTCTAGTTAGAGAGACAGTTAAATTGTATTTAGGTCTTACTATTATATTTCAGTTAACCCTTTCAGGATGGGTAAGTCTAACTGTACATGTCACGGTCTTTTAGTGAGTTACTTTCAAAATTTAATTAAACTACTTTTTTTTATGTTAAACCAATTAGTATAGCATAAAATTGTAGCTAATAATCCATATTTTAATACTATATATGTTTGAAGATCTTAATTTTGTAATATCAGCTGAGACAGCATTTTGTCACTAAGCTCAGCTCTATGAGGGCACATAATGATGCCCCCATGGCTGAACATTCGTTTCAATGGAAGAACTAGAAGCGGAACAGCCAGCACTCTCATAGCCATAGGAAACAGCCTGGAGAGGTTGTTCTTGTTAACCAACCAGAAGTGAAGAGATGCACTGGGACTACTTTCATGAAATTCCTGGCACATCTAAAAGTATTTGTTGAGTTGGGAAGATACAGATGTCTTGGAAGCCCCACCTCAGTGTCTGGTCCTTTTGTACCCTGCAAAAAGTCAAGGGATCTTCTGGGATGGAATGTCTTCCTCGTCACTACTGTTGTCCTTTTCTACTAGTACTATGCTGGCCTGGGACAGGATCAAGTCTGTATAATGAATATTTGGAAAAAAATCCAAAGTAAAACAAGTTTCAAGTTAAATTGTCATGCATTATTATTTGTAACCTGACTTGATCTAATGATGGTTACATCACTAAAATGGTTATTAACAGTAGGCTAACATTTAGCAGATTATACATAAGAAAATATACATGTGCTGATAGTGCATGAAGTCTGAAAGTATTGATGAGCTATATTTGATAATTCTTAAGTTTAACTTCATCGGATCAGTTCAGGTCACTTTTACAGTGTGTACAAAACAACTAATATTAATTGTCATTCAATTTACATTATATATATATTTAAAATGCAGTCAGAGCGATTCAGCATGCTCCTCCTCTTTTAAAGGGATTTTGGGCATCTTATCTTCTGCATTTGTTTTTTATTCAAAATTAGCCCACACTTGATATTTCACTCCCATGGCTCAAAAGGCTGTTTTAATGATATTTACTTTTTGCAAGTTTCTTGATCTTTTCCATTGGCACTTTCCTGTGTTGGTCCTGTCATTTGTGCAGTGACAAATATTCCTTGGAATCTTTTCCACAGTGAGTCCTTAAGGACTCTGATTAGGCTGTTTGGGTACCACACATTGACTAACATATCATGTGGATGATGGTTTAATGACAACACACATGGCAGGGATTATGGTGATAACCTGCTCTCCTTGCATCAAGTTGGTTGCTTCAAGGAAGGGTTCCAAGATGGTGACTAGTTCTTGCAACTGTCTCCATTTTCTACCACTGAAAGCCACCTCTTTATGTGCTTGTTCTTCCAGGAGATTGCATAATGCCTGATGGTCGAGACATACTATAGCTTTAACATATCTTAGGGTTGAGTTCCATCTAGTGCGGAAGGGCAGGAATCCCTTTTTAGGCCCAAACACCTTTTTAAAGGCTTCTTTGAAGGAGCAACTGAAATGCAGTAAGGAGCCAAATTTAGAAGCTTTACTGATGGCAAGATTGATTACTTTCGTTTCCTTCTGCCCATCTGACACCACCAGTTGCAGGGTGTTTGTAAACATCGTGGTGCTGCTTCTGACAGTTCCTAGTCAGTGCCATATCTACATCTTACTGGTCTTCTTCCTGGATCTCTTCCCATAAACTGTCATTATCAAAGTCATCAGCACTAACAGGTCTGCATCACCATCAGTGGTTCTAGGGAAGCGCACAGTGAATGCTTTCTTCATGTTTGATGTATTGTCACATATAATGTAGTCCAGTTTGTTCCTTATTACATATTTGTCACAGATGGCTTCATATGCCTCAGTGATTTTCTCACCCGTGTGAGAACCTGTGATGGCAGACTTCTTGATTTCAATTGCATTGGCAGTCACACCAAGGAAAACACTCATCTGTCTGTCTGACCAGATGTCTATGGTGGAAGAAACCCAGGATGTTTCTTGTAGTTGGGTCTTGTCTAGTTAAGTCAGATACTTACAAACTGCAAGCTAATAACCTCTACACCCTGCTTGTAAATCTTAGTAAAGCCACTTAATGTCTAAACCACTAACTTAAACCCTATTTCATTCACAAAAAGAACAACTGTAATTCTGCATATGGAGTAACGAGAAACACAGTTTCTGAGTGCCCCTGACTATCTTTAAGGCCTGAAAGATTTAAAATAAAAAATTACTGCAAATAATTGAATTGGATTGGAAGGACCATAAGTCCTATATTGGTTGGTGGGTTGTGTGAAAATGTGAGATTTTTTCCTTGCTGCCACCTCTTCGAAAAGAAAGGAATTTCTGAGCACCCCTCATTGTGTCTGACCCTAAACTGAAGGTTCAGACTCAAACATTTCAATTCAAAACAACTATCATGATTTTTGGATTTTGTATTACTTGTATATGAGGATGACATGATCTTGTCAAAACATTCTACATTTATAATAAAGTTTTTCCCTACCCAGTCAAGCCATCTCAAAACTTTTATTTTCTTAAAAGTGGGTTCCTCATCATTAAATTTACATTCAAAATTTTATTAAACTACATTTTGTTCTTGTAATACCAATTAGTATAGCATAACATTGTAGCTAATTATCCATATTTTAATAGTATATAAGTTTTAAGTTCTTAATTTTATAAGGCAATATTGAAAAAAAAACATCCTGAATCTCCCCTAGTGTGAAAATTTGACATTTTTTCTCTAGGCATCCTCTCGTTTCTAATTTATTTACCACTCCTCCAAGAAGTACAAAATTTAACGTCTGGTTCACATTTTATATATGACAGCACATAGCCTAGGCATATGCACTGTGAGGAGCTGAATTCTGAGTGAGGACCTTGTTCATCTTTAGGATTCTTGACCCTAACACTGAGATTTTAAATGTTTGCTTGTACATGTACATGAACACCTACAGTAATTTATTGCTATCCCAGACCCATTCACTTTGGAGCATATGTAAACACAGCATAGGGTGTATGTGATATCCATTTGGCAAGGTTTGTTGCAGGAAAATTCAATAATGTATTTTTGTTTCACTTGGATTGTCAACAAGTCATTCGAGTCACAAGTTGAGTCACATGTTAAAAATATTGTGATTCGAGTCTGACTCAAGTTCAAATCAGAACTTGAGTCTACAGCTCTGGATATATCATTGGTGAATTATGACTAATGCATTGATATTTGTCTTGTGAGAAGCATTTCAGGAGTTCTCTTGGGTTATATTAGTACAGTTATTTTGGGTGTATTTTATCATACATCAGTAATGTAAATCACGCTACAAATGCTCTTATCTTGTATTTATTTACTTTTATGAACAGAATTACAATAACAAGTTATAAACAACACAAAAAAATGTAAAAATAGTCTTGCATCTGGCCATAGTTAGTGTGTCTGCTACCTCATTTGCTTGCCATGGAGGTGAGGCTTGTCAATGCAAGAGACACATTTTCACCTTTACCTCTGGAAAAGGGGAGAGGGGTGTTAGATATACACATCTATTTATTCATTTTAAGTTTAATACAGGAGTATTATTTAGTTTATATTGTGTGAGCATTTAAAGTAAGTTATTTTTAGAACTGATAGTTATGGCAAGTTTGATTACTTAATTGTTTACAAATCATTTGTTGTATAGTTCAGTTGTTGTGAATTGACATCATGTTACTTGAACCTTCTGAATTTTTCTCATTGCTTTAAGTGTGGATTTACATCTTGTAGTTTTGTAGTCTTGTAGTTTATTGGAAATTCCATACCTGAGTCAGGCAATATAGATATAGGCAACCAAGTTAGTGCAAGTAAGTAAGTTAAGTAAGAGGAAAAGAAATAGATTTAGACTGGGTGATCATGAGTTTAGCCATAAAGTGTGTATTGTGGCAACTTTTAAAGTTTAATAATTGCAGATTGTATTGTAATAACAGAGTAAAGAATAATAATTCATCTTTTCATTTGTTATAAAGTAACTGAACTAGCCTGTGTGGTTTTTTTGATGTAAAAGAGTTATTTAACGCTCTGGATACAACTGTGGTGGTGAAGTATATAACACACATTTGCATATATGTTTGACTTGTTTTGAATGTATTATTTTAAAACAAGTGAATTGGGCACTTTCCGTTTATTGTTGAAATTTATTGGCAACAAGTCACAGACACCTGCTATAACGAATCCTGCCCATAAACACACAAAAACCTCACAGAGAGTATTGCAATTGGATCCATGTGTGTGTGTCTGTTTTCCTTCGTGCTTATCTCAAAAACAAATAGACCAATGTACACAAAACTTTTACACAAGATGGGAAGTCAGCATGAGACAGTCCTCCCCAAATTTTGTCCTGATCTGGATTCTGGATCACTTTGAAGCATTTTCTATAATAGGGAGATAGGGAATTTTATCGGCTTCGGGTTAATAACTCTGTAAAGTGGGATCCGCCTTCTACCAAATTTTATGGGCACATTAAGGTTGAGACTCCTCATCACTCTACAAAATATGATCCAGGTCACTGATCATTCTGGATCTGAGAAGGTTTTTCTGTGTTTTCAAAGGTGAAATTTGACATTATCGAGTATAAATGCATGCAATCTCTAAAAGGAGAGGCGGGGCAAAGGTATGCAATCTCTCTGAATGCTCTTGTTTTTGGATCTGTTAGAAATCCATGCCAGTGGCCCACTGTTTGGTCAAAAATGAAATGTTTATTACTTAAAATTTCCACGTTAGAAAGGCTCCTTTGGTTAAATGTAAGCATGTTCAGGTCAAAATGGAAGCCACACCAACAAGCCCTCAATGTACTGTTTTCAAAGGAAAACACACTTTAAAAACATGGGATTTTCACAATCAATGCTTTCAGCAAAACCCTTATAGCTATTTTCAAAGTATGTATTTTAAGTAACATACTAGCCTCTGTATAATATACATTTTAATATAAACTCTGTGCAAGATAACATTAGATTTAACTCTGCAAAAATGCTGTTGTTGCGCTGTTGCATACAACAGTTACCTTGTCTGTTTTTCTTTTATGATTTTGACAAGTTGCTTTAATTTATGTATAAAGTTTTTTATAGACTTAATGAGAATTTTAAAATTGAGCTTTTATGAGAACTCATTCTTTTTTATGTTGGTATTTATTGTATCAAAAATTATTTCTGTTGTCACTTTGAAGTATCATCTGTGGTGTAGAGAAAACAGTTAACTCTCAAGATGTTCATTGATTATGGATTTAGAATAAATCTTTATGCAGTACCTTTTAAAATGCAATAATTGATCGGACATGAAATTTATTTCAATAAACAGAATGAGAAGAAGAAAAGCTAGGGAATCTAAATATTCTGCTTCTCCTCATTATGAAGGAATGTCATCAGATGATGAAGAACCAGAGACAGAACTAGTAGTTTTCAACAAACAGAAAGGTGACTCAATTAAATATTTTTGAAGCTTCATATTAATTATCACATTAGCAGTAAAGTTACAAAATCCCTCCTTATTGCCATTTACTGTGGAATTATATCTTGATGAACACTTGTAAACATGTAGTGAATAAGGTATGTAAGTTCATTTAGGCTAGATAAATGTAGTGAAACATTAAGTTTTTCACACTTTGGTTTGGTTGTAGAAAGCTCAAAAGACCAGAGTATATACAAACTTTTAACTAATAGATGGTGTAGCAGTTTTTGAAAAAATTCTAAACTCTTAATTTGCCAAATTACTATTTATAAATATCACTCTTCATTGTTTTTTTTTATAGACCAAAAAACAAAAATGCAAGTTGTTAGCTCAAAATCAAGATTGTTAAATTCACTTTTGTTTGTCCTTTTATGTGATTTATTGTGAATTGCTAAGTTGCAAGAAAAATAAAGTGGTAAAGTATTTTTTATTTATTTGGTAATATATTTTAGCAAATTTTCATGATTTTTTCATATGCTATAGTAACTAAAATTTATGTATTTGAATGCTGTTACTACTGGTATACACCTTTCACACATCGAGTACACCCTTGCGTATCATGTTTCAAAATTTAAAGAAAAAATGTAATTCTACCTCTATTGTAATCATTTTTACACAGAAATATATTAAATTTGATATATTAGAAATATATAACAGTTAGTGCAATTCATAAAAGAAAATAAAGTGTTCCATTTTCATTTGTACACAGCTCTGAGGAGTTTTGTCTGTAAACAACACATTATCAATTATTTTATACATTTTCTGTCCATTGCAAAGTAGAAGTTTATATTTGCAAATCATCCCTTATAAATATAATGATTCACATCTTGTTTTTGCATAGTTTCCCTTTTCTTTCAGTGCTTTTCTTATTACATCCCTTCATAGTCTTTTTTTTTTCTTATGATGATGTCATGGTATGTAATATGAACAATTTCTTATAAAGCTTAACCTTGAATGTAACTAGAGCTGATGGTTAAACATTATTGAGTATATACATTCTAATGTGTCTATGATAATGTAGAGTAAATAAATAGTTTCTAACAATAATATTTGGTTTTTTAACACATTGGCTACTTGTGACTCCTACAGGGGTTAACAGATCCTTCTGGTTTGAAGTTTGTAACATTTAAGAACAAATCAAAGCTCTGGGAAGTTTTATAGGTTCTTTAGATATTTGTTTCATTCCTGAAAATGTTCATGTGTTAAATAATATATGTTTGTAAGCCACAGGAATTTTCTTCTGTGTCAAGACATGAGGTAAATTTAGATTTAATGAGTGTGATAAGCAACAGTGAGCTATTTGGATGATTCAGATCTTTTTTTCTTTTTATTGAATACTGTTGTAAAATGTATCTTATTCAAAAAGCACACAAATAGAATAACTTATTATTTATTGAAAACAAATTATATTAATGAAAAGTTTTAAGACTTGACCATAATTATTGTTGACAAAAATAATAGTTCATAGCCTGACAAAGGTAATGATGATACCATTTTGAAAGGTGGGGTCTTAAGTCATTGATAAATACTTATATTTTGTTTGTTTTAATGAATTAAACCAAAAGTGGTGACTGCCTCAGTTGGTAAAATGAATTAAGATAAGAAACATGTTAATGAATATCAAACAAGTTGAAATAGACTAGGCATATAAAATGGAACTTTCTGATTAATAATAAAAAGAATGCAACTCTAAAACAAAGGAAATATTTTAAGGTGTGTTTTTTTAACAATATATCACAAAATTTAAAAATACCACAACTTAAAGAACGATGGACATTCTAAATTATGATTTATTAAAAGTAGAAACTAGGTAGTTTTTACAAAGTTTGTACTAAATTTAATGTAATTTTATTAAATATTTCCATTGTGAGCAGGGAAAAAACATGGGATATCAATGAAATCATTTTGGTCTAGAAAAGGTTATATTGACTCCAGAGATATTTTACTAAAGTTTAACACTACTCACCTTTTTTTTCTGGTATGTAGAAGCAGTTTTGCAGAATGTGCAACAGATATTTGAAGATGTTGTGGAAGACTTTGGAACAATTACTGGGATCCAGCATGAATTTGAAATGTGGAAAACAAACTACCCAGAGTCTTACGATGAAACTTATGTACCGTTGTGTCTCCCAAAAATCTTTGGTCCTTTTATACGGTTAAGCTTAATATCTTGGAATCCATTAGAGGTAGTCTTCTAGTTCAGATAAAATTGGTTTGAAAGTTATTCTTTTAGTGATTGTATTATGTGTAGGTTCCCTGTATTACATAATGGAGCTAGTGTATAGTATCAATTTGGATGAAAACTCGGTTGACATTGCCTTTGTGATTTAAGATAAACATAAAATAATGTATTAAAAACAACGTCAGAAAAACACATTTATTTACATGAATGTGACATTTTTGGTAACTACCCTTATTCATGCTAAAATTAACATACAGAGTTAAAAGTTTATGATATATAAGAGTATTTTAGCTCTATATAGTTCTGTTAGTCTGACAAGGGGTAGTTAATGTGTCTTTTTTTCTTAATATATTATTTCGTATTTACAGTGTACAGTATCAGTTGTAATTGTCATATCAACAGCGTAGAACTGTTTACTTTCTAGGAACCAGTGGACTTAGAAAGTATGTCATGGTATCAAACATTAGCTTTTTATAGCCTTTTGTCTTCAGAAGATGAAGATCCAGATCTTCAACTTATACCAAAAATAGTAGAGAAAGTTGTACTTCCTAAACTGTCAGGTAAAACTTTTTCCTTTAATGCAGTAAAATGATGTATTCATATCAAATGTCAGTTATTATTTCTAATGTGATAGTTTTCTGGCTATAATTGATGATGGGTAAAATAAATAAACGTAAAAAAAGATTTGGGGAATTTTATTCAGTTCAGACAACAAAAAACTATTTCATAATTGACTGTTGTATACTGAAACTTCCATCTGTTCTTTAATATTTTTGTTTCTATTTTTTGCATAATTGTTCACTAATTTGTCACTGACTTTCAATTTTCATGCTTTACTAGTTCTGGTAGGTGAAGTTTGGGACCCTCTTTCCACAACACAAACTTTACATCTAGTTACACTGACAACAAGGTTGCTGAATGACTATCCAACTGTCTCTGGAAGTAGCAAACATTTGCAAGTGAGCATGTTTCTTTTCTTTTCATGTTAAAAAGAAACTTTGAAGTTTCTGTTATTCAAATCTTGTAAAACATTTTGTAGGTATATATGATTTACTTACTTGACATTTTGCAAAGAATTATTATCACAAACTTATAACTACACACAGACTTCGAAATAAAAAAAAACATTTTTATTTATCACATTGTGTATGCTGAAGAATATAAAACATTGGGAAAAAAATAATTTACTTTGAAGGGATGAATAATATGAATATAGATACATATACAATATTTATGAAGAACACTAGTTGGGTAATTTATTTTATATTTAGTTTTATAGAGTAAACTGAATTAATTCTTTAAATTTCACTTGTAGTCTGTGTAGAAGCACAAATGCACTATTATCAGTATAACTTTAAACATTAAAATGTACAATGTAGAGAACTTTGATTGTCTCATTCTCAAGAACAGGGAATAAACAATCCAAAAAGACAACTCTTGATAATTAGATCTAGTTTTTTCTGACAAACACTCATCATTTTAATACATCAAAGATAAATAAAACCTTACTCTTGAGGGCTTGGATGAACTGTCTGCCTTTGTTACACTTTGTAGATCTCCAGCTATCTGTGTTCATATTAGTTTTAAGTTCAAATAAGTATACAGTAACTACATGTGGGGCAGTTTTAATAACTTGACTATGAAACCATGCATGCAAAAATCGACCAGTAGATACAACATTTCATTCTTGTGCCAAATATTTCATGATGAGTATTTTTATTAATTTTAATATCAGACTAAATCACGGAAACTACCTTTTGTTCCTACAAAATAAAACTGTAATAATCACAGGTACCAAGGAATTGTGTATAAGTAACATTTACTATACATCTGAAATGATTTAAAGTCTGTGTTTGACAACCATAAAGAAATCCAAAGGAGTTTAACTTTTTCTCTATGATGAGAAAGTGGAGAAGTCTGATAAAAGTATAAAAATGTAGGTTTCACAGCAATAAAAGAGAACTAAGTTGTAAATGTTATTAATTATTGGTGATTAAAGTTTTAACTGGTATGCTGTGTTCCAAGAAAACTTTTCTATTCATTTGCACTTTGCCCTAACAAGTAATAGTAGAATATTCTTCATATCAAATAATTACTGATTATATATATATATATATATATTTATTTATTTATTTTATTTTTTGTGTGTGTGTGTGAAAAGACTTTTCTTCAGAAAGTTGTTGTGAGGATAAGAAGAACCTTGGATGAGGATGTTTTCTTACCTTTATATCCTAAAGAGTAAGTTAAATTTGAAATAGTATAGTTTTAAGTTCTTGATCGTTTGGGGCAAAATAGATATTTCTGTCATATTTTACTATTAACTTTATCTGTACAAATGATTTTTACATTGAGTAAATAAAACTATTTGGCAGTTTACTAGTGAAAGTTTAGATTTAAACTTTTTATCTGGTAAAGGTATTCTCCTATGGGGGTGAGTATATATGGTATTGAAAAATAGAATTCTCTAATTTTCTACTCACTACTGAAAAAAATTATTAACTTTCATGCTATCATTTGTTTTGTTACTGTTTTTAAGTGGACTGCTCAAATAGTTTCCTAAGAACTGTCATTTAGAAAGTGAAGAAATGTTAACTATTTTAAATCAAATGTAGTATTACAGCTTTTTCTTTCTGTGAATATAGAAGCTTGTGTGTTTTGTTGACATACAGTTAGAACAAAGTACAAAGCAAATAAGTATTTCAGTTAAAAATTAATGAATTTGATAATGTCATAAATAGGTATATAATTTAATTAACTAAAGATGCCACTATTCTGTTCTAGTAACCTTCTCATTTATTAGACGTTTATGCTCTTTAATAGTAAAATTGTGGCAGTTGATATGTATGTCAAGCAGTTGCCTGTAAAGTTCTAGTGTTATTAGAATGAATGTAAATAAAAAGGTAAACAAAATGAATGTGATGATAAAGAATAGTGCAAATATATATATATATATTTTTATGGCTTCCTAGAATTTTAGAACACAAAGGATCATCTGGAGCGCTAACATTCTTTCAGCGACAGTCTTGGTCTTGTGTGAAGGTAAAATTCATTTTCATCACATGAAGTTAAAGTACAAATAGCCTTCAGTTCTGTGTATTGAATCATTTTTGTTGATGTTTTAAAAAGAAACGTTTTTATGAAATCAAAGTTCCAATGTCAGTAGATCAATTTTCTAGTTTCAGCTTTCAAATGCTTAGAGCTTTTAAGGATTACACATCAAACTCTTCTTAAGGAACTTGTCAGTATATTTCCATTTTTTTCATATATATATATATATATATATATATA